TCTGTACACAGCAGATCATCCGGAAAGTGGAACTTTATGAAGAATGTGGCATCAGGATTGAAGGAAGATTCCTCAGCAATCTGTGTTATTCAAATGATACAATCTTTCTTGCTCTAAATGATGAGAACTTGAAATTCTTCACAAGATCAAAGACTACAACCTTCAATATGGATTACATCTCAACATCAAGAGAACAAATGTCTTTACTGCTGGGCCAGTAGGCAACAAAGTGGCTACTGGGTTAGAAAAACTGACCTTTTAGAAAAGCATTACCAGTAAGGCTTTAACCATCATATCACCAGACCTACAACAGCCCACTGCCATGAGTTGGTTCCAGTTACTAGTTGATGGGACACAGTAGAACTGTCCCATTTCTTGCAAGTCTTAGTTTCCTAGGCTATAATCTGTATGAAAACAAGTTGCCCCATCTTTTTCCCAGAGTGTGACTTAATGTGTTTAGTCTGCTGACTTTTAGATTAGCAGCTCAACTCTTAACCCACTAGCACTCCTGTAGCTCTACCAGTATATATATTTCTGGGTAATTGGATACCCCCCACATAAGTTCTTATTTCATTCTTAAACCAGTAGCTGCTGAGTCTGTGGTGATGAGAGGTATTTGATTTTGGAGTGGATGGATGGGCCTTCTCAGGCACCTCTGGTGGGACCTGGGCCTCCACCTCTCTTGTTGGCAGCCATGCTGTTGTTGTTAGTTACTGTTGAGTCAAGTACAACTCAGCGGACCCTATAAGCAACAGAGCTAAATCCTTTCCTATCCTGTACCATCTTCTTTACAATCTGTGACACACTTGAGCCCATTGCTGCAGTTTCTGTGTCAGTCCATCCCATTGAGGGTTTTCCTCCCTTTCACTAACACTCTACCTTTCCAAGTGTGATGTCCCTTTCTAAGGAATAGGTTCTAGCAATGTATAACAACTCCTAGACCAAAGTATGAGAGATGATGTTTCACCATTCTTGCTTCTTAGGAACTCTCTGACTGCACTTTGTCTGACACATACCTCTTCTTTTCATAGTCCGTGGGATGCTCAGTACTGTCTTCTCCAACACTACAGCTCAGAGGAGTCAGTTATTTTGTCATCTTTGTCATTGTCAGGTGTAGCAGGTGATTAAAAGGACCATGACCTAAATCAGGCACATCTTGATCTACAGACTGACATCATTCCTCTTCAGTATATTGGAGAGATCTCTGACAGTGATTTACCCAGTGCAGTATATCTCCTGGTCTCCTAACTTTTGGTAGCCTTAGCTGTGCCTTTTTTCTGGGTGTTTTTCATATAAAAATGGAAACATACAGTCAAGTGTGGAATTCCTCCCCAGTTGTCTGTCCGTGTGTGTACTGTGGTGGCTTCTGTGTTACCTTGATGCTGGCAGCTAAACCAGTTTTTTAAAAAATGAGAATTTGCATGAATATTTCTAGGACCAGTTTCTCATGTAGCCACATTTTGTTTTCTCATATTAAGATACCTTGGGTGTAACTGAACTCTTCCCACTTCCTACCTGTGTTTCTTCTTTCCATTAATCCTTTAATCCCATTCCTTGCTGCCTTCTGAGCTCTGTTCCTGGGCACCTGCTGATCTTGTGTGATTGCTGGATCTAAGGAGCGACCACCTCCTGGTGTTACTGTTCATCTTGTTGGTCTGTTTATCGTTTGGCTGAATGTTAAACCACATGGCTGGTCCTGGACAAAGTCAGGCCAGTGAGTTTAGTCACCTGTTTCCCCTACTTTGTAGCATTTATGCTACACTGTTGTCTCTTTCTCTGTTACCTGTTAAAGGCATCACACGTGGTCAGACACCAACCCTGGTCTGAGGATGGTTGAGGGAGAGATTAACACACCTCTAGTATTTCAGATATTGCAGGGTCACCCCTGGAGGGCAGGTCACAGCAGAGCTTTCACACTGCTTGCTCTTGCTCAAGATTGTGTCTAAAGGGTCACATTGCGGAATTCTCTCGGTGTTTCACTTTTCTCATAATGCTGTTAGACCTACCCCTGCCATCCAGTCAATTCTGAAGCACAGCAACCCTCTATTGGTTTTCTGTCTATCTTTTTCCTACAGAGCAGCTAGGGGGCTCAAACTGTTGACCTTTTGGTTATAGCCTAACAGGTAACACAGAAGGAGACAACAGTGTAGCATAAATGCAGCTTTTGTATATGAACCAGGAACCAGAACATTTGTATGATTCCTTTTATTGCAATACTGGTCTTATTGCAGTGGTTTGGACCTAAGCCCACAAGTCTGCCTAGAGTTAGCCAAGTCACTGTCCTGGGCAGAAAGTGAGCAGGGGTTACAGGCTCAGTGGCAGGGTTACACTGGAAGGGAAGGCTTTCACATGTGCAGAGGTGTGGTCTGAGACTAGAGGCAAAATGATGCCACTCATGGAGGGTGCTCTAGACCTGTCACCCTCCCTCCAGCTTGCCCAGAGATTTGAAGCGTGCAGAGACTACCTGTCAGTATCCTTCATTTCTCTATACTTGCAGGCCAGCGTGAGCTGCCTTGTTCTTGATCACAGGAGGGAATCTAAACAGGGCTTTGCTTTCAGGTGTGAAATGCAAGCCTAATAAAGCCTCACCTATTTGTGAAATTAAACCCACTTTTGAGTATTAATTCCCCAGTAGTCACAGCCCACAGGTCAGGGAAGGGCCAGTTCCAGAGCCTAGCAAGCCATTCTCTGGCCCCTGAACTGACCGGAGTATTCCTTAGTACATGCCCCTGGGATCGTTAAAGAGCTGGGCTGCCTAGAAGCATCTCAGATCTTCACAGTTTGTGAACCCAGCAACTTAGCCTTGGTGTCCTGAGTTGTCATAGTATGGTACCATATAAGGGTGAATTTGGCATACAGGTGTTCGGTCACTGCTGACCAACCCAAAGCCACTGCCATCAAGTTGATTTTTTTTCTTAGCAACTGTATTGACTAGAGTAGAACTGCCCCGTAGGCATCCCAAGCTCTAAATTTTTCTAAAAGCATTTTTCCCTCCATGCTTGTGAGTTGATTTTTGTTCAGGAGCTTTTAGCTCCTTGAATGTAGTATTTTGCTATAAGTGGCCCTTTAGTAACTGGTCTTGAATAGAATGGACTAAACCATCAACAACCTGTTTTACACAGATGACACAACCTTGCTTTCTGAAACTGAGGAGGATCTGAGATGTTTGCTGCAGAAGGTGAAGGACTTCACCCTTCAATATGGATTGAAGCTCAACGTCAAGAAAACAAAGATTATCACCATAGGGCCTATTGGCAGCATCATGATAGATAATGAGATTGTTAGCAGCTTCAGTTTGTTTGGTTCTACAGTCAGCACTCTTGGCACCAGGAGTCAAGAATTCAAAAGATGGATTGCATGGGAAAATCTGTCAAAGACCTCTCCAGAGTGCTGAAGAGCAACAGTGTCAGTCTAGGGACTAAGTAAGGTGTGCCTGATCCAGGCCATGATTTTCACATTTACTTGCTGTGCATCAGAGAGGATGACAAGAATGACAGAAGAATTGATGCTTTTGAGTTGTGGTGCTGGAGAGGAGTATTGAACATACCATGGACTGCCAAGGGAACAAGCAAGTCTGGCTTGGAGAGGGTAAAACCAGGCTGATCATTGGAGGCAAGAATTTTGAAGCTCTGTCTGACATACTTTGGGCATGTGGCCAGGAGGGATCAGTCCTCAGAGAAGGACATCATGCATGGTGGAGGGACAGCACAGAAGAGGAAGACTGTGGATGAGATGAATTGCTCATTGACTAGGGTAATGGGAGTAGGTATGCTGGCTAGGGCAGAGTTCAGAGCTATTGTACATAGGGTTGCCATCAGTCACAGGTGACTCAAAGGCACATAACAGTCCCAACATAGCAACATTGAATAGAATGGACTAAAAACCATAGGTCTTTAAGCTGGCACAAAGCAGTTTAAAAAAACCCAGAACAAGGGAGCTCTGGTGGCCTAGTGGCAAGAAGCTGCACTGCAATCCCAGAGGTACGCAGTTCGAATCCACCAGATGCTCTGCTGCAGAAAGAGGGGCAGTCACCTCCTGTACCAGTCAGATCCGATTTGACGGTACACACACTCACAAAATAATAAAATGTAAAAAAATTAAAAACCCAGAACAACCCCCCAAGCTGCCCTAAGGGATCAAAGGCCTGTAAGTGGACTTCTGTAGGAAAAACTCACTGCCATCATTAATCCTAACTCAGTGACCCTATAGGCAGAGTAGAACTGACCTGTGGTTTTCACACAGGATATCTTTATAGAAGTAGATTGACACATCTTCCACTTGCAGGGCAGCTGGTGGGTTCAAACAGAATGCTGACCTTTTGGTTGATGGTCAGATGCTTAAGCCACTCTGTCACTAGCATACCCTGTGGACCAATTCTAGTCTCTAGTAGGGTGTCCATAAGTCACAAGTGACAACGGTAGGGCTTACATGTTAAGTCTTTGAAGACTTAAAGAGAATCTTCGTTTCTTCTCTGTGAAATGAAGGTTGGGCCTGATGAGCTCCAAGACACAATGGCACCTGAAGTTATAGAGTAGCTGTTGGCCTCTGTGTCTCTCCCCTTCCCCCCAACCCCCACTTGGCCTCTTTGCCTTGGTCCTGTCTCCTGAGGGCCAAGGAAGAACTGGGTTGCCTTTGGGGGTGCTATGAGTGCTCCTCTAGTCTGCCTATCTAATGAGCATCCTGAATCTCCCAGAGCAAATTTTTAGGGGATGGTAAGTGGAGTCCTTCTGGTGCCATGGATTAAGCATTGGGCTGCTGGCTGAAAAGTCAGTTCAAACATACCAACTGTATCCTGAGATAAAGCTGAGGCAGCCTGTTCCCATTGACTTTGTCCTCTTGAAATCCTCATGGGGCAGGTCAGCCTTATCCTGCTTGGTCACTTTGAGTCAGCATAGTGGGTTTTGATTTAAGGGCTCCATTTCCTCCTTTGTAAAGTGTGATTAGGAACCCTGGTGGCATTGTGGTGCAGCCTGCTAACCCTTGACCTGCTTTGTCCACAGGCCAAGTACCTGGCCCAGATTATTGTGATGGGCGTGCAGGTGGTGGGCAGGGCCTTTGCCCGGGCCCTGCGGCAAGAATTTGCAGGTAAGCCCAAGCTCAGGCCAGGTTGCTATGGCAGTGCAGGACAGTGAGTGATAAGCATGCAGCTAGTAGCCAGAAAATTCAGTGATTCAAACCCACTCAAAGGTGCCTTAGCAGACAGACCTGCAGTCTGCCTCTGAGGGGTCGCAGCCTTGAAAACCCCAGGGGGTGCGCTTCTCTGCACACATGGGGTTGCCACAGTCTTGACTGAGTAGTAGTGACAAGGCAATTGCTGGCCTGAATTGCTGTTTTACAAGTAGCATGTTATCACAACAGTCACATCTGTCTGTTCACATGATGTATTTCCACATGCAGTGCATCCATGTAAGTAACACATAGGAAACTAAGCCTGGCTGACAATAGTAATTGTGACCAGGATGGTTTCACCCTCAGAATCTCAAAAATTATTCCCAGATCTTTTAAAAACATGTTTACTAACACACTGATGGAAGTGGTCCCTGAGGCAGCCTGCTGGGGTGGTGATAGGCAGGAGACTAGGGAGCTCTTCTGGTCAGCTGCTGCCCCCACCTCCCTCCACCCTGTTTCTGGTCCACAGAGCAGGGTAAACCTGCCTGATTTCCTGTATCCTGGCTCAAGGGAGGGAGAGCCAAAAGGGACAGAGTTACTGCTGATGTAGATTGGAGACCTGCCCTTGTCCTCCAGACAGTATGCCTCATCTCACTTTACACGGCCAGTCCTGGAGAAGAGGCCCCTGAAGCTCCTTCCCCACCTATGCCCCTTCCAAGCTTCCTGGCAGGAGTGAGCCAATCATGAGAAAGGCCCAGGGGGAGGAAGTGCTGAGAAATAACTGCCGCTCACCCTCATGTCCTCACAGCTAGCCGGGTAGCAGCTGATGCTCGGGGGCGTGCTGGCCACCAGTCTGCTGCTGCTTCCAGCCTCTCTGGCCTCAGCTTGCAGGAGGCCCAGCAAATCCTCAACGTCTCTAAGCTGAGCTCTGAGGAGATACTGAAGGTGAGGATCCCAGACAGGTCAGGGCAGGGTCTGGTCAGACTCAATGGTAGTTCTCCAGTGCTTCCAAGGGTGTGAATCTTAATGGGAGGGGACCGCCCTTCAGGTGGATTTAAACCGCCAGCCCACCCACCGCATAGAGCTCTGTATCCCCAGGGCTTCTTTGGAGGCAGCCCCTGAGCACCAAGTACTGGTCCTCTCTGCCCTGTAGTCTCGCCGCCCCCTTGAGCTCTTTCTGTTCCTAATGGGTCTCCTATCTTCTAGAATTATGAACACTTGTTCAAGGTGAATGACAAGTCTGTGGGAGGCTCCTTCTACCTGCAGTCCAAGGTGAGTAGCCTTGAGAGGGCCTCTCCAAGCCAGAGTCTTGGTTTCCAACGAGTGCAGCGAGCCAGAGGTGAGCTCTTCCATTCCTGAGCTGCCAAGCCCAGGAGCCACCTACCTAAATGCCCATTTCTATGCTACAGCCAGCATGTGGTGGGCCTTATGCCCTCAGCTGTGCCCCAGGACTCCCTGAGCAGTCAAGTATGTGACCCAGCCTCACTGTTTGAGATATCCACCCACCCCGCTTCCTAGGTGGTCCGAGCAAAGGAGCGCCTTGATGAGGAACTGAAGATCCAGGCCCAGGAGGACAGAGCAAAAGAACAGCCAACCAGGACATGAATGCCACTCCCCCTCCCAGCCCCCACCCCTAATTTATACTTGGTAATAAACACTGTTTCTGCAATTACAGAAGTCAAGGAAATGGGTTTGACTCTAACATCCTCAGGACTGATGCCTGCAGCTGGGAACCATGGGACCAGCCAGCATTCAAAGCTAGGGAAACAAGGCAGCACCTCTTTGGACAGCCCAGCACTCCAAAATACACACCTGACCACCCGTTTGGGAGTGGGAGCCGTGTCTGAGGCACACCCACCACCTCTGTAACTTACTTTTATTGTTTCTTTATAAACATCCTCTCTCAGGGAGGAGCATTTGTTATAGTCATAAGCTTATCTTTTTACTTTCATTTCCTTTTACTTTTTAAAATTCTATGCTAACAGCAACTGAGCTGAGGAGGAAAACGTAAGCTATGATAGAAAGGCACTTAGGACCTGTTAAAATACTGATATCTGGGATGTGCAACAAGAGACTGACAAAATGACAAATACATGGCCAATAAGTAACCAGCCAGACAGCCTGGTTTGCCACATGCTGTGCCCTGACCTGAGGCAGGACTCAGAGAAGGGAGACCAGCTCCCTCCTCTGCCACTCACAGCTCCTTAGAGGCAGCAAAGTCTGGGGGCTGGGGTCCTAGGCCCAGCTGCAGGGGTGGGTCAGTCAGGGTGACCCTTCTGGGACAGAAGGGCGGTCAAGAGGGATGGGGCCTGTAGAGGTGAGGAGTTGAAGGTATGCAGTGTTTGGTCTCACGACAGCTGGAAGCCAGATGCTGCTCTGCTGAGGGAGGGAAACCATACCATGTCCCCCAGGGACAGCAGGGACCAGCTGCCTGGCCTGGCAGTGGTTGGGGAACACTGCTGAGTCAGGGCCAGGGCCTTCTGAGTTAGCATAGCATGAGCAGCTGGCACCAGAAGAGGTGCTTCTAGAATGGGGAAGACCGGAAACTCTCTGGCCCAGCACTCTCCAACCTCACGGAGTGGGGGTCCATCGGAGGGAGATGGTGGCCTGGCCCTGCCTCTGCCTCTTCTGTCATGGGATACCTCTGCCTTCCTCTACTTAAGGCTCCTCAAACCCACTTCCCCTATTAGAGGCAGGTGTCCTCTGCCAGGGGGTGCACTGTCATTGAGACTCAGCAGAACGGGCCATGTCTGGTAGGGGGTGGCATGGAGTGGTGGGCAGTGCGGGCCTCCCTTCTCCAAGGAAGTGGCAGGCACCTTGTCAAGGAGTGAGCAGGACAGGTGGTTTCTCTGGCGTGGCGGGGGCCTGGGTCTGTTTGGCCCTCCCTCTGAAGGGTGGGTCAGTGGAAAGTTCTCAAGAGACTGAGAAGCAGGGTTGTCTGATGCTACGCAGAGCATGGCCTCTGCTTCCTGTTCTCCTAGTCACAGCTATTCTGCCCTCCTTTGGTGGACAGGGGAGAAGAGAGCAGGATGGGCACTGCCTCAGCACCAGCCCAGCTCCCTGGACAGGAAGTAGGCCCAGCACCTTAGGATATAGCAGTGACCAAGCACTAACTCTACCCTGCACTTAGGGCTGTTTCTGGAGCTTAGGCAGCCAGTCCTCACCGGCAGGGTATTATTGCTATTTCGCAGAGGAGTTTCTGTTCGTCAGGGTAGGGTGGGGAGCTGGGAGGGCTCAGTTCACCATGGCTGGCTTCAGCAGCACAGAGCCTGGTGAGATGACCACCCAGCCAGGAGCCAATGCCTCCGGGCTGCTAGCTGCTGAGCTGACCCCAGTGGACAGATCCAGCACAGTGCCGGGCAGCAGGGATGGTCCCTCGAGGCTGGGCCGGGAGCGGCCACCCTCAGTCTTTTCAGGTGGTGTCTTGTGGACTACTGAGGCCAGCCCATGCCCCTTCTCCCTCTCGGCCTTGCTGCCAGCAGAGTTAGCCAGGAGGGAGACCATGGGCAGGCCCAGTCCACCAGCCCCGAAGGGTGAGGACAGCAGTGAGCTCTTGGCCAGATTGAGGGGCAGGACAGAGCTGGGCAGGCCACCCATGCTTGCTGAGCCACCACCTCCACCACTGCCACAGGCCAGAGCACTGAGGTCAAGGGGGCCAGGGGCCAAGGGCAAGGGCAAGCCGGGCAGACTGGGACCCCCGAATAGCGCAGTGGGGCTGGGGATGATGATCTGTGCCCCACTGACATAGGGGCTGCCATCAGGGCTGGGTAGCGGGGGCTTGGGGGGTGGGCGTAGCGGCAGGAGCTCCTGCTGCTCATGGGGCACAAAGTGGCCGTGGGCCTTAATGTGCTTGCGCAGCGAGCTAGGGTCTGTGTAGCGCTTGTGGCAGCCGGGCATCTTGCAGTAGTAGGGCTTGTCCACGTAGTGGGTGCGTGTGTGCTTGAAGCGGTCGCTCGAGTTGGAGTAGCGTTTGTTGCAGCCCTCATAGGGGCAGACGTAGGGCTTCTCACCTGCAGGCAGGCCAAGGGTGTCAGCAAGCTCCCCGACAGCCAGTGTGCCCCACCACCTGGCATGTCAATTTGGCAGGGACAGCCCAGCCCAGCACAGCCTTTGGGAAGAGGCAGGGAGGTGCTTGATGTGCAATGGTTCCCTGAACTTGCCTGTTCTAGGCACAGAGCCTTCAAACCCCAGATGGACCAGTATGACCTCAGAGGTCAGGACCCACAGAGTAATCACCATGCAGATGAGACAGCTCTCAGGGCCCTGGCTGCCCCTTGATTTGTCTCTGACTTGACACTCTGGCTCAAGATTTCACCTGGTATCTGCTATAGTGCTGACCTGACCAGGACGGAGCCTTGAGCCACATGTGCCTTAGAAAAGGAGTGTTTGGACAATACACACCAGCTGGCAGACTATTTCATAACCTGCTGTCATCTGGCAGTTCCATCTTCTGGTGTCAGAGCAGAAACATGCTCTGCAGTGTTCTTCATGACCTCTGAGATCTTTCAGAAAACTGTCATTTATAGAGGTGACTAGTAATCTGTTCCAGCCATCAGTGTATACTGAAGGCACAACTCAGATGAAAGTACACACCAGTGAGGAGGGGACATGTGTATAGCAATACAGAAAAAGATGTGGCTGGGCATAGCGTGAGTGTCTCCTGCTGCCGTAGCCCTCCTGGCTGCATCCTGCCACCACCACCCTCACCTGTGTGTGACCGGTTGTGAATCTTCAGGTTTTCCAGGCGGGAGAAGCTCTTACTGCAGGTGGGACAGCAATGTGGCTTCTCGTTGGTGTGTGTGCGGATGTGAATCAGCATCTTGTACCTGCTCCAGGTGGAAGAAAGTGGTGTCAGCCCCATGGATGCCCCACCCCTGCCTCACCCCCACCATGAGGCTTTACACTAGTCAGCCTCCCTCACCTTGCATTGAAGCCTCGGCCGTGGCGAGCACAGCCCTCCCAGTGGCAGCAGTACCCTGCATCCTTCTCAGGCTTGACGTGGTAGTCGTTGACATGGTCCACAAGGTCTTGCAGGAGCTCAAACAGTTGGTTGCACTGTGAGACAGGAGAGGCTCTGAGCCTCTTTCTCCCAGAGCACTGGGCACACCCCTTCTTTAGGCCTCACTTACCTTGGCCCAGCGACACATTAGCTGCTTGGGCAGGGGCAGCTCAGGTGAGAGGCACTTGTCCTTGTGGGCAGTGAGGAAGGAGGAAGTGGGTAGGTGCAGGGCACCCCCAGAGCCTAGAGGCAGGAAGAACTGGAAGGAGCTGGGCATGCTGTCCAGGTAGCGCAGGGGCTGGAAGTCCTGGGAAGAGACAGCCAGAGAAGCTTCTCAGCTCCCTGTTGTGCAGCAAGCTGGCTGCCCTCACTCCTCAGGTCCCTGCCCGCTCCTTACTGGGAGGTTAGGCACCAGGGACAGGTCCCCGCCCGCTCCTTACCAGGAGGCTGGACACTGCATGCTCCTTACCGGGAGGCTGGGCACCATGGGCAGGTCCCCATTGCTCTGACGCTCAGGGGACAGTGAGTTGCTGCCACTGGGGGAGTCCAGCCCGGAAGGTGGAGATAAGCTGAGGTCCACCAGAGGAGCTGCTGAAAAACGCCCGTCAATCTTCTCCGGGAACTTTGGAGTCAGCAGGAATCCTGAGGGAAAGGCATAGTGTTGGGCATCGGAACTGAAGCCCCACGGTGAGTGAGCCCTGGACTCAGGCCCTAACATACTGCCCCAGACACTCCACCTGCACCTCATGCCGCCTTGGCCAATGGGTGGCACAGAGAGAACCCATTTAACAGATGGGGATGATCTGCTTCCTGCCTCCATGTTCCCTTCTGCAGAACTGGAGGCCTGGACTGGCCACCTCCTGGAGCCTTCCTGCTACCACAGCTAGTGAATCTGGTTTTGGGGGTCCACTGCGGACCAAACAAAGTAAGTGACCACCACACTGGGCCTGAGCCTCAAGCAGTGCCTGGAATGTGCTCACTGGACACGAGTTTCCTCCTGGCTTGGCATCCAGTCCCATGGCCTGTAAGCCCAGGTATTATGATTATGGGAATATTTGTTACTCCTGCTTCTGGGTCTCCCTCTCCTGGAAACCTACTGTCAGTAGGTTGATTTCCACTCAGCACCCTGTAGGGCTGAGGAGACCTGCCGCTTTGTTTCCAAGGTTATCCTCTTTACAGGAGCAGACTTCCATAGCCTGCTTCTGTGGAGCATCTGGTGAGTTCAAACCATCGACCCTATGGCTAGCAGCCAAGTGCTTAACCCCACTGTGCCACCAAAACCAAACCCACCACCAAGGAGCTAATTCCTCCTAACAGAGACTCTCTACGGGGTGTGAGGCTGTACATTATTACTGGATTTGTAAGCTGGTGGATCTGAACCATCAACTTTTCACTGCAGTCTCCTCCCCTTCAGTTTTCCCAGTAGCCTCTGTTAAAGTGCCTCTCCTGCACAAGTTGCCTGAACTTGGCAGGTCAGATCCTTCCTCCAGTACTATCACTTGGAATCACAGTTGGAATGGTGGAAGCAGTGAAGAGCTGTGGGTCCTTTTTTGTGGAGACATATTGGAGGTTGTCCCCATTCTAGGCTGGGTGCCATACCTGATGGCGGGGAACATGGGGAGCCTGGGGTAGGACTGTCATCCACCAGGCCCAGCTCCCTGTGCAATCCACGGTGCTGGGCCATTCCTACGGTCCTCTCTCGCTTCTCTCTCTCTCTCGCCGCTCGGAGCTTGGTGATGCTTAGCTTCAGGTCAAGCGGCTCGTCCAAGGAGTGCATGGTGACAAGAGGGCTGGGGTCGGGGACAGCAGCAGACAAGGGGAGATTCAGGTGGAACCTGAGGGAAGACAGCTGTGCTGAGACACTGATCCCAGGTCTTCCACAGCCTGCACCCACCGAAGCCCAGGTGAGCTGGACAGTGAGAGGCCACGGGCAACGTGAGCTTGTCTCCTTCCCCAGGAGACACCACAATGCAGCGTGGCCTTGGTTCCAGGTGGAATGAACACAGCCACCCCTCAGTGGTGCGGTTGTGTATCCACTTCTCCTGAGGCTCTTCTGAGGACACGGTCTACATTTTGCTATGAAAATTAGTTTATGAAAGACTGGAGCTAGGAAGTAGCAAGTTCAAGGCCAGCTCTCCATGGACTGGCCAGGCATATCTGATGGAGAGGCCATGACCCATCTGAACCAGATGACCTGAGCTGGTGGAGGGCCATGCGACACAGGCAGACCTTGTTTTACAGATATGGACTTTTTTTCCTTTACAACCTGAAGGTTTGTGGCAGCTCTGTGGAACAAGTCTGTCAGTGTGATTTTCCCAATATGTACTCACTGTGTCATCTGGATCCCATTGCCATCAAGTTTATTGACACTCATACCACCCTGTAGGACAGAGAAGTTGCTCCTAAAGCTGTAAATTTTAATAGAGCAGACTGCCTTTCTCTCTGGGAGCAGCTGTTGGGTTTGAACTGCCAACCTTTTAGTTAATAGTGCAATATTAAGCCATTTGAACATCCCAAACCAGAAAACAACTTCCACTGCTACTCAGCAGCCCCCGTCAGGTTTCTGAGGCTGTAAATCTTTACAGGAGAAGCCAGCTATAGAGGAGCTGATTGTTTTGAACTGCTGGCTTTTCAGCTAACAATACATTCTACACTAAGCCACCAGAACCCACTTAACAGTTGACAGTAGCATGAATATAGCCCTTATATGCACTGGGAAAGCAAAGAATCCGTGGGGCTGGTTTCACTGCAGTCTGTCTTTATTGTGGTTTGCACTGACAGACAATAGTGTCTCTGTTTTCATCTTTGCTTTACTGCAGTGGTCTGATAAGAAGCTCAAACAACTCTGAGCTCCACCTCAGCAGCTCTGCTGGGCATATGCTGCTGGCTAAGGAGGATGGACACATCTGTTTTTAGCAGGCAGGAGTGAGAGGCTGTCCCAGGCAAGCTTTGCAACATAAGGGTGGGCCCTCAGTCCCCCTATCCTGGTGTCCACCAGCTGGACCGAGGGACCATTGGGCCATAGGGCTTATGCAGGTGGGCCTGCAAGAGTGCTGTCTACAAGCAACAGGAGTAGAGGGCCTGGGCTACCACCAGAGGGCAGGCATGGCTAATGGGTGCAAAGGTAAATCTGCTCTGGTTAGTAAAATGCCTCTGTCCTCCATCTGTTCTGCTTGGTGCTGTCAGGTATGCAGGAGACACTGGGGCTCTCCCAAGACAGCCCTAAGCACCACCAAGCCTGTTCTGGCTACACCCTCAAGAGCATTCTTAATCTACTAGTCAATTAGCAGGGTTTGCAGCTCTGCTCCCTCACAAAAGCTGCACATCATATCAAAACCCTCCCTCACTTGGAATCCTCTGCTCTGAGGCACACCTCAAGATCTCAAGGGCAGATTGGTCCAGGAGGCTGCCTACCTTCCTTCTCTGCAGACCCAGGAATCCAACTTGTTCACCTAACATTTGTAAGGTAGCTGATTTGTTGGGGTTGCCTCCTCCCCCACCCCTGCATGGAAGGTTGAGTCCAGACTGCCACCTCTCCCCTCACCTTGGAGCTCCAGGCCAGCAGGTGAGGGATGGATAGTGCCCCTGAGCCATCCTGCCTCCAGCAATGCAGAGCTGTCCTCCCTGTGTCTGTCCCTCTGTGTCTGCTTGACCTCCCAATATATCTGTCCCTCTGTATCTGCTGCCCCCCATTATGTCTGTCCGAAGTCTACCTGTCGCCCCCCCATTTATTTTTAGGCATCATCTTGGCCGGCCCCCCCCCCCCCCCCGAAGCTCCTCAGGAGCCTGCAAGGGCAGGAAGGAAGTAAATATTTATGCTGATTAAGAATTCAGGAGCCAGGAAGGGCTGGTGGCCTGGTCCCCGTGCTGGCCCAAGGCCACGAGCCTCCCTGCAGACTCCAACCCCCTACCCCCACCCAGTCTTCACCTTCGGGAGGAGACCTCAGAAGGAATGGGAGCTGGAAGTCTAGGCTGTTCCGACCATCCAAAGGCACTGCCCTAACCGTCCACCCAGCCAAAGTGGGGCTGCACGGAGTACGGAAACCCTGGGTGACCTTGTTCTTCAGACCTGCTGGGGGAGGGGAAATCCTGCCTCAACCCAGAGCTGGAGGAGGTTCCCCGAGAAGCCAGTCTCCCAAGGTGGGGCGTAGGCACAGCGTACAAGGCGAAAGGCGACTCCAGGTTCCCAGCTCTCTATCCCCAGGGACCCCACCCCCACTTCCTGCCCCGGGCTCTGCCCACAGGTTCGTTCCAATAGAAGCAAGGCCACACCTCCTCCCCTGGAAAGGAGGAAAGAGCAATCCAGAAAGCCCAGATCTCCCAGCACCCCCACCCCAGGTGAAAGACCTCCAATAACCTCATTCCTCTTTTAACCTTGGCTAACCTCGAAGTGTCCCCTTCCACCCCCATGTTTTTCCCAGCCGGCGGCAGCCAGTTCTGGGCTCCCAGCTCCGTTCTTTGTTCCCGAGCAGGGTGTAAAGGGGCGGGCCACAGCTTGGTCCACGCGCTCCTATAAACTTGACCAGTCTTCAGGGGCCGGGATAGGGTGCGGGCCCAGTCTGGGACCCTGAGCGGGGGCGTACAGAGAGCCCTCCACGGGTTAGCAGTTCAGATTACGAGGCGAGCCGCCTTTGGCGCAAACAGGCTTCTCAGCCAATTGTCCCTATCCCTTAGGGCCAGTGTCCTTCGAACCACGTGCCTACACCTCCCCATTGCTCACACGGCGGCCTGACTAGCGTGCTCTACCGAAAGGGCAGTACTCAGCTTGGGGCGGCCAGCAGGCGGTGACTGCGACAGGCCCGCGCCAAAATGACCACCCGCTCGGCATCGTTTCTCTAGCTGCGAAAGGAACTAATTAGAGCCGAGGGCTCTGGAGGAAGCGGTAAGAGGAGTGCGCAAAGAGGCGGCCGCGGGGACCACCGGAGCAGCGCCTGGGCCTCCCCTGCCCGGGGCGGGGGTCACCAGGCGGGTGGGCTGGACCCAGTCCCCTGGCCTTACGCCGCCCCCTCGCCCGGCTGTGAGCAGACAATGGCTGCTGTTGTGCACGCCCGCTCGGCCCGGCAGCAGGCCCCCAGCTGCAGCGCCCACAGTGAGCCCGGGCCCAGCTAGGCCAGGTAGGACCCAGCGGCCATGCCTGTCCACCCCAACCCACCTGGGCCTGGAGGGTGGGAAGAGTACCGTAATGGTCATCACTCAGCAGATTCTTTCCACATGCCGAGCACCTTGGGGAGTTCTCAAAAGAAGCAGGTTTAAAAAAAAAAAAAGGTTCGAATCCACTAACTGCTGCTTTGCAGGTCGAAGATGGGCAATGTCCTCCATGCCTCTGCAAACCCACTGAAGCGTTCTGACTTGATGGCACACTCCCCACACCCCTCTAATAAGGAGCTCTGGTGACACAGTTCTTTGCTCTGTTTACCAGAAGTTTGAATCCACCAGGTGCTTCAAGAGACCAAGATGAGGCAGGCTTCTTCAATAAAGATTCAGAGCCAAGAAAACCCAAAGCAGAGTCACCTAAATAGGAACTGATTCAACAGCAGCAGTGAGTTTTGTGGATTCATTTCCTTCCCAGCTTGGCCAGGGCTGAGCTGGAGGGTGGGGGGTGGGCGTGTAATGAATGGTGCAGCTGGCTGGGCATACCCATTCTGATACATTAAGGTTTTCTTGATAGAACAGGGGAAGGGCTCCACCCCTACACCCACCTTACAGCCTGGGATCAGATGAGTAGCCTGGGGTGCAATAGCGTGTGGCTGACTCTTATTCCTAGGATGGCTGTGGTCTGTCCAGCATATGTAGGATCTGGGACCAAGGACCAGGACCCTTTGTATACCTGGTGGTTAGTTTTACAGTGAGGGCTCTGAGAGTGAAGACAGGTGTTTGTCTTCCTGCACCGGGAGCACAAGAAGGTGACAGGCCCTAGGCTGGGAGACCTGAGCAGATTAGCCAGCTGCTGACAGTCTACCAATGCTCTGCCCTCCAAAAATCTGCTCTCACTGAGGCAGGAACCATTTCATCCCATTTTACAGTTAAAAAACTAATGCTCCACTTCACCGAAGACGACATTCAGATGGCTAACAAGCACATGAAGAAATGCTCAAAATCCCTAGCCCTAAGAGAGATGCAAATTAAAACAACTATGAGATATCATCTCACCCCAGTCAAAATAGCAAAATTTAACAGAACAGCAAGCAACAAATGCTGGCGAGGTTGTGGAGAAACTGGAACCCTGATTCACTGTTGGTGGGAGTGTAAAATGGTGCAACCCCTGTGGAAAGCAGTATGGCGCTTTCTCAAAAAGTTGCAAATAGAGATACCATTTGACCCAGCAATTCCACTACTGGGAATATACCCTGAAGAGACCATAGCTGACATCCAAGCAGATATATGCACACCCATGTTTATTGCAGCTTTGTTCACAATAGCAAGGAGTTGGAAACAACCTAAGTGCCCATCAACAAACGAATGGCTAGAGAAGCTGTGGTATATTCGCACAATGGAATACTATGCTGCATTAAAAAATAAGGAACTCATGCAATATTATTCAAAATGGTTGACTCTGGAGAACATTATGCTGAGTGAAATATCCCAGTCACAAAAGGACAAATATTGCATGATGCCACTGTTGTAGAATGGGACTGTCCTTGGGGTTGGGGAGAGACTGAGTAAGATGGGTTCAATAATGTATACTGCACTGAAACAGAGGAGGGAGAAAACTGTTTAAAAGAGATTTTTGACTCATGTACTTATAACTTGTTAGTCAAATTTGTGTCTTCTAGGTTG